TGTATCTATAAAATAAAATGCTTGGAATGTGATGGGACATACATCAAACAAACCTCAGGGAAATCAAGATCAGAAGAAATGAACAGATTATGGCCCACATTTGACTATCAAGCAATCCATTTGAACTAGAACAGTCTCAAAAATGATCAATCATAGTGTTATGTACTCGTCGAGTAGTTAATAGTCCTGACGCGGAAAGAGGGAAATCAGAAGACCACCAGGTTTACGATGATACTTGTATTTTCCAGACAAGGAAAATAAATGTCACACAACAGTGTGAGTGAAATGGTACGAGTGTACGAAATGTGTGTGAACACAAGAATTAACAAGTGTCTAATACAAAAGTATATATGGAAATGACTAATACATATGAACCAATAAGATAACGTCTTACCATGATTGGTTGTAATCCCATGTGATAACAAGGTCATACATGTTTATTTAGTTAGTGGACAGACAAAAGCATATTGTCAGTTATAATGAAATATCGATCCATATACACATAGCAAAATATAATAGACTGTCAACAACAAAACACACATACATCATGTGGATACATATCACATAGATCTACATGCTATAGAATCAGGCCACAAAATTGATTTTGACGGTATTGCAATCATTCGGAAGAATTTCAGAACTGAAAAGATCGTCTAATATCAGAGTCAATTCACATTAAGTGGAATCCAAATTATGTGAATAGGAATGATTGACTAAGCAGTTCAATGAAGAGTTACTCTTTTTGGCGATATCATTCAGCTATCCAAACGTATCATCGAACATTTACCATCATATAGTTTTATAAAGGAGAAAAAAGATTCCCCCGAAACTCTATTCTGGAACACCTGATCAAATCAGGACACCAAGCAAACCCATAAAATACAGAATGCGTGGGAATCTTACTAAGATAGTATGAATCAAACTTCTTCAAACCGCAGAATAAATGGCAATTCACCTGAACTCTGCATACAAAAAAAGTGTGTTCAGTCATTAGATCTACAATAGACCTGATCTATCTTAACGCCGAATACACAATTTTGTTTTTTAATTGTCTTATTTTTCCCCCGCCACCCCTTACTACCATTGTTAACTTGACTCTCGTTCAAATTTTAGTTGAATTTTACTGAACCCCTCAGTTATATTACGTCAATCAACTTATTTAATCTTATTTTAGTTTCTAGCCGATTAATCCCTTCTAAATTACATAATTAGCGATTGTACAGCTTCAGAATGATATCGGCGATAAGAGTAACTCTTCACTGAACTCATTTTTTTTACATGAATGAGTGGGAATTTCGAATCTCTGAAACGTGTTGCGAAGATGAGACTGTAGTCGTTTTGTTTCCTTCTCAAGTAGGAAACCGACGTTACATAGCTCCATAACCATGTGAGGGCTTATATATTTTTATAGGTTTGATAGGGATATGGATTAATTTCAATGGAGATCTCGTCGCAAACCAGCATCAATTAGAGAGTCATTGAAAACCAAGAACTGGACAGCTGTCGCATTAGACTGGGTGGGTCACAGCTCTTAGTTATATCGCAGTAACAGTACCCAGTAGTATAAAAGTCGTTATCCTAAAGCTCTAGCTGTATTCAATGTTCACCGAAATAAAAACTAAAGCATTGAATACAGAAGAAACTTGTCCAGTTCCACTTCCTATCTTGACCTTAATCCAATTATGTTTTTACGAGTTGATCACGGATTGATATCAGTTAGAGAACCATTGAAAACCAGGTCCAATTAGATGTCACGTGTGTGGATGGATGTCCCACCAACGACAATGTTGGGGTCGCGCTAAATCACGAATTGAGTCGGGTCTCAGTGGCTGAATGGTATACGAGCTTGCCTTGTAATCGGAAGTCCTGGGTTCGAATCCCAATGGGCGTGTGCTACCGATGATTCCCAAACTAGGATGAAACAGCAGCTGTCCAGTACTCCCTGGTTTTCAACGGTTCTCTAACTGATATCAATCCGTGATCAACTCGTAAAAACATAACTAACCCTCACAAAAACCAAAACTATAGAAAATTAATCCAATTATGCTAAAATTATTCGTTTTAAAAAATCTCCCTTTACTTTTCCAGACAACATTATTCTGGTGTAATATCATCTCTTATGTGGTGTTTCCACACTCGTTTTTAATGATAAATCATACAAACAATACTTGAAAATTGATCTGATATTCACTAGCGACTGGCCCTATTCAGGCAGTTACCTGGGGTTCTGTCGGGAAGCCATGACCAGTAGGTTAAAGCAGGTCGAAGGTGAGGACAGTCACTCATCCAAGAAGACAGTGCGAATTGGTCGCTCTACGTCGTGAATTGGCAGGAGTTAGAATCCGTGCATTGGCCACTAGATCGGATCCCAGTGGCTTAATGGTCTACGAGCTCACTGGCCTTTTAACTAGTAGGTCCAGGGTCCAATCCCCTGTGGATGCGTCCTGATGAAAAGTCCCAAACCAGAACGAAACAGCTGTCCAGTACTCCCAGCTGGTTCTCTAACCAATGTCAACTCATAATGAAATTCTCCAACTAATAAATCATTCTTTAAGAATTTACTTATTAACCAGTTCCTTATCTATTATTGTTTACCTTAATTTTGCCCTCACTACATTTTGCATAACACTCAGTGATCTTAATAACTTTGCATTTATTCTAATAGTTATCATAAATTTTAAATGTAAACCAACTGTGTGTACTCATGCGTATAATGACGATTGCTGAAAAGTCTCTTTGCCTGAAACACATGTTTTTTTTCAAGTATTGGTTTTGTAGGGATTTTGTTTGATTGCATGGAGGATTTAATCATGAGCTGACATCAGTTAGAGAACCACTGGAAAACCTGGGAGTACTGGAAGCTGTTTCGTCCTAGTTTGGGACTCTTCATCAGTACGCACCCACTGGGATTCTACATGGGGTTTTTCGATGAAGTATAAAACTTAGCCGTAAGGGAACTATCACAAAATTCCACCGTTCTTGAACTCCTTTCAGACAACAGTGAATGCAAAACAAGGTGAGTAATTTTACAGACGAGATCACTAAGGATACCAAAATTTCCGTTTATCAAAATGCTCAAACTCCTATGTATTCCATATTGTGTTTTTATCATGAAACTGTATTCAATGATCACTATATGGACTCGCGCGAATATTGAATTAGCTTCCAACTAGACGTCCTGCAATTTCATTGAAGAATTCCACAGCGTCCATTTAGAAGCAAGTTAAATCAGCGCACGAGTTCATGTATAGGTAATTTGATATAACTGGAAGACTAAAGCAATGATCAATCCAGATGAAATTGGGCATTTTAGTGGAAAGCCGACTCGATAGCCCAGTGATTCAAGCAGGCTGCTTTAGCTTTGTACATAACTTTAAGAGATAAATCCCTTGAGTATTATATTCACCGATATGTGTAGAGCTGTAGTCCATTGGTCTAGTTGCTCGACTTCTAACCTGTGGATCATGGGTTCTAATCCCACTCCCCTTCCAAGGTTTGAGAATCCAGATAGTATCACGATCCCTCACACAATATGCGTGCGTGACTCATTACCAACTGTATGTGATCGAAATTGGTTGTTGAGTAAAATTCTATTTTCACCTTTATATGCGTCCGCTATTTCACGTGCTCATTTGGAACTGATTAAATTAGGTATTTATAAGTCAATATTCCGTAAACGCATAACCGAGTAATATCCAGTTTAATCGACGATTTATCTTTCAACGTTATCTCTACGCGACTACATTCAACCATTCACCTATGTTGTGTATGTATAGCTGGAGTATCAACAATATGTGAACGGAAAACTAGATTGTGCACTTTAAAAATGCTTGGTTCAACCTGTCTGTCTGCCTGTTTTCGACTTAGAACTTTGCACATATGTGCAGCAGTTCGAGTCACCACACTCCATGTAGCACACAAATCAAGAAAAGAAATGCAAAACAGAGACAGTAAACAGAGGTGTGAGACAAAGGAATAGTAATAACAAAGAACAAAACAGTTTCATTGGAAATCATAAGTCAAAAGGAGTGGATGCATCTGCACCAGCCATTGAGAACGATTTTGAGCCATGTCACCAATTGTTTCCAGCCATTGGTTTTTACCGTCCCGAGGACCTAACCAGTCAGGAAGTCTACACCTTCCTACGTGACTGGCTTAAACTAACTGTTGTGGATTTCATTGACTGGTGCCACGTTTTGGTTTGACCGCCGCCTGACCATATGTCAGCTAATATTGTCCATCGAGGAAGGCGATGACTAGGCATACGTAACACATGTCCTAACCATCTCAGTCGATGTAATTTCGCAGACTCGTCGGTTGATTTCCCTCCTTACCTAGCACTCGACGCCTAACCTCAATATTGATCACCTATTATTATTACCTTATTATATTGGTTCAACCTAGTTCTTTATCTTGGTACTGATAATATTCTTTCTTAATAAATAATATGATGAAAAATCAATTGAGTCACCTTTCCAATCAAGTTATATTTAGCATAATATATTGAATAATGAATAAAAATTACTCAAATCAAGTCATAAACAAAACTTTACAAATATTACAAAATATTTATAGCAGCGTATACAAGTTGAAGGAAAGTAACGCAAATAAGATGTAAACACCGATGACCTTGAAGAAGCCAATCAAAACTTGAGGAGGGAAGATTGTAGTTCTTATGGCGAAATTGAGTTTATTATTTAAGCACACATACTGTTGAGTATATGCGGAGCAGGTTAAATCCTAAAAATCCGTATAAACACCATAAATCTTAACCAGGATCTTAATCTGAAGAATGTTCTTGAACTTTTTCACGTATTTTTTTCGTTTAAATTAGCCTCGCTCACTCCAATTGGTCTCTTCAAGGTCAATTTATGCTTTCTTTCAATTAGCTCACTAATCTCTCAAACTATCAATAAATATATACATGTCAAACTTGAAATTGAAAGTATAATGACAAAACAAAAATTCCACTGAAGACTTTCATCACCATATCCCCAAATTTATAATTCATTTCTGGACAGTTGAGGTGTTGTATTTGACTGATATATACGTTTACGAAACATTTTCATAAATAAAATCATATATAAAAACAAACCTAATGAAATAAAAAATAAAATCCAAACAATTCGACCACATTTTGAACCTAATTCAACTGATAATTCATTTAATACACCTGAGAGATGAACTTCATTTTTCTCTACTTGTCCAATACTCAAACTGACTGTTTGACAATCTGATCGAATACGTTGATTCATTGCTGAGGATTGATTTTTAAGATCAACAGTTAGTAATAACATTTCTGAGGCTAATTGTTCACGTCGCATTTGTTGTTCACGTAAAAGTGCATCAGGTGATTTACTGGAGTTTTCAAGCTGATCAAACATTTTCTCTGTAGACTTATTTCCACCTAGAGAAGTAAAATAAATACCGTTTTTATATAATGTTACTGGAGAAATATACTTTGTATAGTTATTACTATTAAAGCACACACTTAGTACATCATGAGCACTGAGAGATGAGCTATACAAAAGCTCATAGTTTTTACGACGACCGGGATGCTGTCCGAACTCCCAGACCAATATATAGGGTTATCTTAAGGAGCCGCCATCCCCAATGAACAAAACAGGTTCATACGACATTCCATCTGTTCGGATTTTGGAGAAATGTACACCGTAGGTTTGGAATCATGATTTTCCAAGTAGACCTGCGTCTCTACCTGTTCGGTTTATGAAGAACACCTCTGCCGCGTGAAGGCAGTGAACAGAAGTTACCTTGCAGAGGCCATAAACACGCGGCTGCACGAAAGCGTTTTGAGAAGACCGAAGACTACCCACCCTAGGGTGCCTACCAGGAGGCATTTTACATAGTAACAGCAGCAATTAGGAGTTTACTTTCCTACCAATGCTGAGATTACCTAAGACAGCCTTAGGATGGCAATGAACAATGACTGGAAGTAAAATTAAAGTCTTCATGTCTCCGTGGGATTTGAACCAATGACTTCAACAATACTTGCCTGATGACGCCGTAACAGTTGAGATCAAATCTATTCTTATAATCTGTAGTTGAAACGGTTATTAATTTTTTCGCCTTAGATAGACATCACAGAGTTTGGGGTGGAATTAAAATCTGACAACCGACTTTTTGTTTCAACCAGTCAGTATACGAGCAAACTTGTAACTTCGATGTTACTACATAATTCAATTTGATCTGATTAACTGGATTGAGATGTTCCACCTCTGTTTCGAACGATGAGTACTGAGTTCATGTTTCAGTGGGAACACTATCACTCACTGGGGAATTCAGGTACATTCAAATGACGAGTCCCAAATGGGACGCCAAATTACTTGGATGCTACTAGTTTGCATTCAGTAGTGAGATGGATTTTCACCTCATCGACAATTCGAATCATCATCAGTCTACTCACACAGCATATCCGACTTTTTTTCAAATATTGAATAACAAGATGTATGCTTCTTTAAGAAATATTAAAACATTTTAGAAAAAAGCCAATAACCTACTGAACAATGATGACAGTAGTATCTCGTTTTCCAGATAATTATCCAGATAAATTTCCTAACAGTTTTCTACCTAATGAACAACTATAGATTTTAAGGAATAATTATGAGGGGAAAGAATTTTCATCGAAATTCCCCGGTCATAAATATTGAAAAATTAGAATAAACAAACTGTTTCCAAGAGTTGGGTTGTAGGCGAGATTTAAATGATTTCAAGGTATTAGTAGTTTTCGTCAAGAATAGGCAACAGTTAGAGAGAGAATCATTCCAATAAGGATTTGTGTATCTAGCGGAATCTACCAAGTTGAGTATGAAGACAGATATTTGAGTGAAGCTTTACCTCATTAGTCCAGGCACCCGACTTCCATGTGATGGTTCACTGGTTCGAACCTCGCTCCATCTACCGAGGCTCGTGCAGCCAAGTAGTTGCACTAGCCCATACATAATAGATGTGGTTCATTGTCGACTGTATGGAATGGCTGGCAGCTGGTCGAGTAACATGTACTCCCTAATTGGAAGTACTGTTTTTTGAGTCTGAATTATTCAAGTTGTTTTGATTAGACACTAGTTACTAACCAGTGTAATGTGTATGCGTGTCTAGTCCTATCTTTGGTGCAGACGGAATTATATCAGTCAAGTTTGCAATGTGGCCGGTATGCTTGGTGGCTCGCCATCACTGTGCACTGTGAATTGTTGGCAGTAGATGGTTGGAGGCAATCGGCCACAGGAAGCCCCATCTGTCCTAGGTTTCGTGCTAGTTGAAACTCATCAGCAAGGCGTGTCTGCAACCTCGAAGGAACTCATGTCCCTTCTGGGATTCGAATCCCCGCCATCCAGTGCTGCACTCAGAGACGTATTGTATCTTCAAAAATATTCAATACAATCCTACAGGAGGTCAGTCACCAGCCCAACTAGCTCAGTGGCGAAGTCTCTGACTGAAGCATTGGATGACGCGGGTTCGAATCTCGGATGGAACATGAGTTCCTTCGGGGTTGCAGACACGCCTTACTGACGAGTGCCAACTAGCACGAAACCTAAGTCCCACAGGGTTTCCTTCCGATTGCCTCCAACCATCTAATATCAACTATTCAGGTTGTGTAATCAAAATTCACGGGGGTAAAGTAGGCTAACACAAGTAAATTTATATGATTAGAGATGCATTTCCCACGGAAGAAATGTTCGGCCTTCCAAAAAGATTTTAAGTGATGACTCCCACTGTCTTTGCTTTTAAATACGGCATTATGTGAACAGTTACTCAAGGGAAAAGATTACAGTGTGAACGATTTTCTTAGCTTATATAATAATTCTACCACTAATGAATGATACCATTCATTAGTGGCAGTATTCTCGCCAAACATCGACGTGGTCCTAACTTGATTTCCAACCACCACACTCCAAAACCTCGCCTAACTGGTATTAAGCCCAGTAAAAGGGAAGGTTGTGCTTGATAAAACTGTTATAGAAACTTTAAAGCTAAAGCTTGAAGCCTAATATTACATTCGGAACATAAAGGAATGAAAACAGAGAATGAAACACAGATGAATTGCTGATTCTAAATGGCAGTTTGATAAAACAATGGAAACATGACTCACTAGCTTAAACGCTAGCCGCCCTCCCCAGCCAACGGGTCACAAGTTCAGTGGATTATCCATCTTCACACAATAAGTACTACAGCCGATAGATAGCTTGATACATGAGGAACCTGTTCGAGACAACCAAATTCTAACAACTCAACCAGAAAAAAACTTTTTCATGAAAATGAATACTCCTTTAATAACAAACAGCTTTTTGCTGTCTAATATTATATGCCTTGAAATTAATAAAGCTGATAACAACAAGGAGTACTGAAAGAGTGAAAAGGACCAAAATAAGAAGTTGAGCTATATATCAGTGATAACTAGCTGTAAGCATATGCCAGTGGTTCAATGGTGGGAGGCTTCTCACCTACGTGGAAGTTCCGAGGTTAACTAACACGCCCAGGTGACAAACTTCTAAATCTCGTCTAGTTTACAGTTTGGTAGTAAGCTCGATAAAGTGGGCAGACTCGTTGGGTGGGTGTGAGGTTGGCAACTCCACCCCCCCCCCATGAAGAAACACCACTGCTACTGAAACTTCAAAGCTTAAAGCCCTACACGGACGTTCTCCTAGGAAAGGGAGGGGTGAAAAACTCGAAAAAAAAACAATCTGTAAACATGATTGAATACCTACCTAATAATTGTTCTCTTAAATCACGATTTATCCGCTGACGTTCTTTCGCTATCAGATCACATGTATCAGAATATGCGCATTGAATGACTGATGTGTTCTCCACTATTTCAGTAAAGGCATTATCTGTCTCCTGTGATGATATATCTTTAGACACTGCACTGTCATTGTTCTCCGCTGGAGTGATTGTTTTCAGTGTCGAAGTAGTCTTATCATGAGATAGATAATGAGTAGATACTGGATCTGAAGTTTGTACAATATCACAGTTTTCTTTTAACCTTTTTACCTGAAAGTGGAAAATAATTAAACACATATAAACTCATTCACTAGTAGTAGTGGGAATAGAATTCACATTTGAATGAGAAAATGAACAAGGAGAATTAACCATGTTAGCCTGTGAAATAAGACGAACAACAGAAGGTTGAGTGTACTGCACTGTATTAGCGTTTATAAAAAGCTGACGCATTCTGCCAATAGATATTTATTTATACTTCAAATCATCTCATCCCTTATCTATCTATGTGTAAAGGCAGGCTGGGAAGGTTCCTCAACCGATGACTAGCATGCGTTCAAGGTCATTGAACGTTGAAGGTTTTGGGACGCTATTCTTAAACTTCGCCGGCAGGCTTAGTCAAGTGTCTGTCTAACGAACCGAGCAACACCCCTAAATAGTACTACAACCAAAAACCTAAACGATAAAGTGAAACAGGTAGAATAATAGCTGGTTGGTGTTAAATAACTATCCTATAAAATAAATTCATTAGGAAGATGAGAAAAGGTGAAAAGCAAAATAAAAAATAATGGTGAAACCAATAATGATAAGACAAATAAGAAAGAATATAAGACAACAACAATGGTTTAATCATATAAGGAGGGAACATCTGAAGCCCTACTTAGGGTTCTCAATAAATTAGGAATTAGAGTGGCATTCAAACCAATGAACTCACTACTCAGGTAGGACAAGCTTTGTAGGCCAAAGGACCCTGTTGACCCAATTAAACAAAATATAATTTACGAAATACCTTGAAATGATTGTAAGTTAAGTCAACTAACTAGTAGATCAGGAGTAATGAGAACGTCATTACTGTATAACACTGTGTAATTTTATCAAAATAAATTTTTATCCATAATGGAATTATGCTGTACCACGGTAACCAAGTTTTCTCCCTATATCAATAACACAGAGTGAGAGTTTCAAAAAAATTATACCAAAAACACTATAGCAACTTATATACTACTACTTGTTATGCGTATATGCCGTCTGGCTGGAAACAAACACTGATCAATAAATACTCAGCAACTGTCTCACTCACCGGGGTTGCATCCCCGGTGGACGTACTCCTAAGCCTCTTTAAGCCGGCAGTAAGATTGGTATAGTGGGTAAGTTCAACATGAGGCTACCCCCCTCCCGTAAAAATAAACACCAGTGACTACCGAAACTTCAAAGCTCTAGTTTGGAGTCATTGATATAAGAATAAAACTTGTGCACTGTGGTAGAGTGTAATTCCATTATGGGTAAATTTTGTTTTGATAAAGTCTCACAGTGTTATACAGTAATGTTCAGTAAACATTACTGTATAACACTGTGAGACTTTATCAAAACTCTAGTTTGGAGCCCTATGTCTTTCTCGGAATGCAAAGATAATCACTGGCCACAACTTCTTCAGAAGCCAGATTGACTCTTGGATACTACATGATGAGTTTGTTAGTTTAGCTGAACTCCTACAAACACCTGTGCTACATTATTACCAACAATAGCTTACAAGTAGCTGTTGAACAAGACGCATTGAAAGAAGAGGAGAATAAGCTTATCTTAGAATTTCTGAACACAGTCCAAGATGCCAGTAATTAAGGAGTGTAAGTCTTAACAGCACAAGAGGATATCCGATATACACCTTCGACACTTTTTAAAGATAATAAATGAACAAACAAGTTCACGCAGCATCAGAAAAATTCCCTAAATCTACCACTTTCAGATGCCTCAAAGCTAACTTATGTGTTTAAGACTAGACTGAACTAGATCTCTCTCTTTCTCCATTGGTAACTTTTTGCTTGACTTTTAATCAAAACTAATCAAAGCACCTCTCGTTAAACACTAATGCTGCCTTCTCTTTTCATTGTACTGCGCTGTCGCCTCTTAAACCCTGTGTTCAGATAGTCTGAATTCAGTTGGGTGACTTCAATTCATAATATTTAATAATTTTTTACGCCAACTTAGCTAATCTTATATTTTCTGCATTAATTCCTTATTGCTTCCCATATTTGATTTCTCCGAGATACTTTATTACACTAAGTGTGCGATTGCAGTATTTTATCATACTTTACTTTACTCCTACTTGTAAACAAACTATGGTTGAAATAATAGAGAAAGTGTGTAGCTTAGTTGGATGATTTTGATGCAGTTGTGTCCTCTGAGCTGGATAGCTGAACTGTGAAGCTTCCATTGTCTTTCTAGACAAAATCTTCAGTGGTGTCTTCAATGTGTAGAGAACTTATTTGAATTCTTTATGAATGATAAAATTATCTCTCCTAACGAGCCTGGTTGCGATTGGTTGTTAAGTTGCATTAATAGTGATCGATCAAATAAATCCACTTCATACTGCAGTGTGCCCTGAAGAAGTTGTCTAGAGAGGAAACGAAAGCCTCTTAATTAATCCATCCAGCTTTGAGAACATAACCAAATGACAAATATGCTTGTTTTTTAAAGATAATCTACGACATTTTGTTCTTTCAATGAACTAAAGCAAATTAAATTTACAATGATACTATCTCCTCAATACGACGAAATAAAATGAATTCATTGTACCCTACGCCAATTATAGTTATGGCACTTGTTGACCACATCTGTGAATAATTTTTAAGATAATGTGAGTATACTACTGACTTAGTATTAAACAGTAAATTTATTTAGAAGCGAAGTAAAATCGTGAGAAAAATTAAGGACAGATGTATCAGTGAATTTTCCCTACACAAAACAGTAAATCATATTATAAAATATAACGTTGTCAGTAACTTGCCATTACACATGAGTCAGGATAGAACCAGGGGTCTTTAGGTTACGAGGCCAATCTAGTACCCAGTGTTTCCTGTTTCTCCATGATCTCTAACTAGGGTGGTGATTCATGACGAAATCTACACGTTGGAATTGATTCGAATCCCTACAAAATAGCACAATCTAAATATCAATCTTCAGCTCACTGATGGCTACTGGATGGATGAGTGTCCTGAAGTTATAGTGGGAAGTCGTGACCAATGTGGGGGTCCACCGATGTTAAGGTGTACTGGTTGCTCATCGAATACAATGGGTGAGAGTAGTGAGTGCTATATTACGAGTCAACATGAGTTAGGATTCACCAGATCATCGAATTTCGACCCAACTAGCTGAATGGTCAAAGAAATCGGCCTCGTACCATGAAGGTCCCGACTTCGATCCCTGGTTGGGTTGGGGGTGTGCACTGATGACGAGTCCTAAACTAGGACAAAATATCTGTCCGGTGTTCATCGATTTTCAGTGCTTTTTAACTGGTGTTGGTTTGTGACAAGTCTACGTTGAACTTAATCGAAATCCCTACGAAATTATAATGTTAATATAATTTGTGATATGACATGACTGAAATCACTAGGTAGACTAATTGATTACAGATTTCCTCCTAACATCAGGCATTGATAGAAACAACACAATCGCAAGTATGATACCTCATTAGTTGCATGTAAGAAATAAAAATTTGCAGAAAGATATAATTTTTTCATGCTTTCATTTTATACTCAACTCTTTACTACATTAAACGAGTTGGGCATAGGAAATTGCAATAATCCGTAATTCATATACTGCTAGGACGTATATTGCATTTCTCTCTAGAAAAAGTTATGTGTCAATGACTCCATTAACCTCTAAAACAAGAATGCCAGTCTTTACCTACACATGTGGATTACACGAAATTTCAATTACTTTAGTTAGACTGAGTGAAAGAGGGAAAGGTATAATTGAATCCTTGCTTTTGGTTTAAGGGACTATCCTTTAGGTGAAAGTGTGATTGAAACTAAGACTGTACATAAATCGATCATCTAATAACAATAAAATCTGAAGAAAACTATATTCTCCTTTAACTAATAATTACATACAAACAATCTTATCGTGGAATATTGCTTCACGTACATCTCATTAAAAATCATCTTTCACCAGACACAATTTTCGAATGTCAAAAATTTCTAGAAATTAGAGACGTCTCTGTCTGTCTGGATTCAACATAGAACTTGGCACCGAAGTGCAGTAGTTCGAGTCGCCACGTTCCAAATAGCACGCAAAGGTAGACAAGAAGATGAGTGGAGAGAATCAATAGAGTTTGACAGGTATAAGAGCGAAACAGAATGGGTAATGGTAGAAAGAAATATGAAAGATTACAGAGACTGAATACATCTGCGCTGGCCATTGACAACGATTTTGAGCCATGTCACCTATTGTCTCCAGCCATTGATTCGTAGAGTCCCGAGGGCCCCAACCCGGGAGTCTGCATCTCCCTACCTGATTCAGTTTAGCTGTCAAGGATTTCATGGATTGATGAGGCCATGTTTTTGTTTGGTCACCACTTACTCTTTTCCAACCTGCACCTATATCAGCTAGTAATGCCCGTCGGGGGAGGCGATGGTTACGCATGCGCAGCACCTGACCTAGCCATCTCAATCTATGTAACTTTATAGCCTCGTCGATTGATTTTCCCTGTTTACCCAACACTCTACGCCTAACGTCATCATTACTTACCTTATTATATCACCTAACGTGAGACAGAGATCGTAGACATCTATGATCAAAAACAGTCAACCTTTTCATGTCTTCAACTCGTATTGGCCATGTTTCAGAGCCATAGAGAAGGACGGAGCGAACTGATGAGCAGTACACACGTCCCTTGGCTGATAGCCGGATATCATACCTACGCCAGAGATGGTGTAAGTCAGCGAAAGCAGCTCGAGCTTTTCGGATCCGTGCTGAGATTTCGTCGCCAATCAGTCCGTTGGTGCTAATACAACTTCCCAAATAGGTGAAGTGGTCAACATGTTCTATCACTTCACTCCCTATCACTAAGCTAGGAGTTGATGTAGTCCAGTCCTGTAGCAGCATCTTACATTTTACAGGGGCGAATCGCATGCCAAACATACGAAGATTGCTGCTCAAGGTGTTCAGAAGACTCTGCATTTTGTCAGCATCCTCCCCTAACAGGACTATGTCATCTGCATATTCTAAGTCCATAAGACTATTCCCTGGTAACAAGTCGATTCCTAAGTCGTTACGTTCAGTTAAGGATACTTCCATCAGCATATCTACGATGAAGTTAAACAGGAATGGGGAAAGTGGACATCCCTGTCGGACACCACTGGTTGTTACCAATTCAGATGACAATTCCCCATAAGCCCTTACACGACTACGTGAGTTTGAATAGAGTGCCTTGATTAGTGCAATGTACTTTCTTGGCACTCCCTTCACAGTCAGACATTGCCATAGTACCTTTCGATCCACGGAGTCGAAGGCCGCCTTCAAGTCAAGAAATATGACAATTGTTGGACGCCGAAAAGTGTGTCTATGTTCTAGAATCTGTCGAAGAGTGAAGATATGATCTATGCACCCTCTACCTGGTCTAAAGCCTGCTTGATTTTCCCTTGTCTGTTCCTCCCGAGTTCTGCTTAGTCTATGCATGATTACTGAGCCTAGGATTTTAGAGACTATGTTCGTTAGGCTGATCCCCCTATGATTATCACACGAGGACTTGTTTCCCTTCTTGAATATCGGTATAATAAGTGACTTACCCCAGTCTGATGGAACTGTCTCTGATTCCCACACTTTGCCTAGTACCTCAGTTAATCTACAAACTAGTATGTCACCCCCATATTTAAACACCTCCGGAATAATTCCGTCGGGTCCTGCCGCTTTGCCTCATTTCAAATTACAGATAGCTTTTGTGACCTCACTTACAGACGGCGGACCAATGTCTATATCCCATTCGGGTGTATGCTGGATGTCGGGGAGGTTCAGTGTGGCTGTAGGCAAGTTAAATTGTTCCTCAAAGTGTTCTTTCCAGCGTTCAAGGCGTCTATCCTGAGAGCTAATTAAGGAGCCATTTTTCTCAGAAATAGTCTCACTTATGATTTGCCTTCTCCCACCCGTTTCCCTGATGAGTCTAAAGAGTTGCCTAGTGTTGCCTATCGCCGATGCTTTTTCCATCTCTTTCGCCTTTGTCACCCACCACTGTTCACGGTCCTTGCGGAGACTTTTCGTAAGTTTCCTTTTGTGCAGCTTTCGCTCCTCCCCAGCTTTCCTCCTCAGAAATTAGAGACGGAAAACAATTGAAACCGGTATACTTTTAGCTCTCACTGTTTATACTATAGAACCTACCCAAAAACAGAAGTCCACCACAGTGACAAAAAAGTGAAGTTAACAGTAGTAGTACAGCTCAATATGAAAGTAAGAGTAGGCACACTAGGAAATGGGCCAAAGTTCAGTAAGTGGGGGGGATAGTTTAAATCTGTGATCTGCTGGCTGAACGTAGTTGGCCAAGCAAGCATTAGCAACATACAAGACGCGCTAAAAGGTTTCACTTTTGTCCTTATCTCATAGAATTCCTGGGTTGAAACTGTGTGACAACCAAAGACTCAGACTAAAATTAATAAAAGTGATTGAATGCCTAATAATACAGATCCCAAAGAATAATGACACGATACGTGGAAAGTGAATATGAAACTTACTCTTATTTCATAATTACGGATACATTCTGGAGAAGGACGATAATTCGAGGATATCAATTTGTTAAAGAACGTTTCCAAAGTTTTCACATAGGCCTTGTAAGTGGTGCCCAACTTCTTTTGTACTGCAAGACATTCAGTGCAGTATAAAAGACGCATAAAATTCATTTCTAACGCGGAACGACTCATATTTGGTAAGAAAAAAAATCAGTTATCTAAAATAATTAAAAATTAAAATGTATTCACCCACTGAAATTATTGATTTAATACAACAAGAATATCAAGAAATACACTGGACAAAATAACGAGTATATGACGAGGAAGAGAAAACGTAAGATAGTTAACAAATAACAGAATGGAATGCATTCTCACAAGGCGTATTCAAGGAAAAATATTTCTACATTGTATTTCTTTTCGATTGGAAGATAAAAGGAAGTCACCACATGGTCGTCATTGCTCTACATTTTGATCCGCTAACTTGCATGATCCTTCAGGCCTCACCTAGAGTATTGAGATCGAATAACAAAGGCTTACTCAGCACAACTATCATTCTAAAGACCGATAGTATGGACTAACCAATTCTGTGTTTTAAGAATGTATATGTCTTACACACGGAAATACATTTACAGTACGCGTAGATGTAATACTTTATAAAACGGGACTACTTCAATTTTTTTCATTCCACACTGATATATAGAACCCAGGGATTAACAGTTATTGATAAACGTCGACTGTTTGGTTTAAGAAAAGAAATAAGAAGTCTATATACATTGTTTTTGTTCCTAAAATTATAATCTAAATGAGGCCTGACAGAAACGAGATTAATTATTGACCACTGTAATGTTTCAGAGATCTAAAACTAAATCTGCAGTAATAATATCTAACATAAGCCCTCGAGAACCTCCATTAATTTTCACTTGTTTGTGAATATTTGACTCATGAGTTTTATTTCAGAATAATGCTCTACCATACTGCCCTAATCAGTCTTATACACTGATATAAGCCTTTACAAGTATCACAAATATATTCAAAAAATCGTCACTGAAACCCTTCATATAAAGTTGTCATGAATATTTCAGTCGTTTGCTAGTTCTATATTCATTTCTTTGCATTCCAAGTAAAACATGGATTCAACCCTGAAGTTCTAGTAGTAGTAGTGCTCCTAATTCGTGGACTTGCTAGCCTTTTCCAACCCGCTCTCTTTTTCATAGCTTACCTTAAGCCAGCAAAGTAGGCGAGATCTAGTAGCGTGTCAACCAAGAATTAGACCCGAACCTTGTTTGGCTAACAGGCACTGTACCATTAGGCCAATGACGTTTTTTATTTAGTTCGATTAGATTTTTTTACCAGTTGAATGGCCGTCCTAAATAATGAAATGATTTAACAAACTATACGTTAAGCATGAACAGTTAGTACTACGACTAATCCGCCCAAATGACTTCCAAATTGCTCCTTCGTGATTATAATTTGGTTGTATATAACATTAAATATAAGTAACTACGCTACCATTTAATTTAAGTCCATAAAATTTGATCTACTGTTGAATTCCCTAAAGTCCAGATGTTCGATTTTATCTCTGAATCCATAAACGTATTGTTTTCCAGAGCAAACACGAGCTTATTGAGCACATTAGCGTGCCAAAAAGAGCTCGGAATGTTGTTAGAACAAAACGACAGATTTAGTATTGAGAACTGTATGAAAAGGCTGTACATCAATGGTTCACTGTTTCAAACATTCTACTGTATTTGGCTTCCTTGCTTCATCTTTGAATGCATGTATAGGTGGAGAGCTAAATGAACCCCTCGTCACCTCCCCTAGATACAACCGTGTTGCTTTTCACTGCTTAAATTTCGTTAGCTTTGCCTGGAAAATGATGGCAGAATATACACAGATACAGTGCGGAAATTTTTAGACTTTACTTGCAGGCTCACGTGATGACGTGTAATTCCCTATTTCTATGACTTTTTGAATGAAATTAATAACACTTTGTTTTGATGTACAGCTGCTCGTATTGATGTGATACCGACATATTTCTTGCCGTATTACATTATTTCCTTGATAACCAGCGACAAAAAACGTAGCAGAAGTCGTTTTGGCAACTGAAAGCGAAATGATAATTTGTGGAGCAGTGCGAAAAGCAAACTGCTACTAATAACGCTGGTCTGCATATTTCCCCTGATTTTTCACGCAGTGATTTACGTAATGTCTTTACGTTAACGTAGGGCCACTTGGTTTACACTAGCCACGCTCCTTATTATAGATTCTACCGCCAACATGTGGATATATAGGAGAGGCATTAATCAAGCAGCAAAATCTTTCTGGAAAGATTTGCTTCAATCATTTCCCTTGATTCCTACGGCCACGACAAAATGTTTACTTGGAACCAACTTAAACACATTAATAACATCTCTCTGTGACGAATTGGATATAAACAGAGATTTAAGGTGCTATTAGTAAACGTTTAGGCGAAAATAACTACTCATTGAAACTAAAACTGACGTGTCTAAAAAGACACAATATTTATCACCATTCCAGACCATTGTATTTATGTTACGTCGAACCCAAAATTATAAACAACGAAAAATATTTTGCTCACTCCAATTATATGTGAGTAAATGTCCCCAGAGAGTGCAAGCTCCTAAATTATCATTTTTCACACCTCAGTAACGTGTGATTGAATTTGAGCGTTTTTCTGTCTACAATTCAATATTCAATGCCATTTTTACGAGCTAGAATAAACCAATTTGCCTTCTTTTTGCTTGCCTCTCCATCGAAAGGTATAGGTTCCTGATCCTCTTTAAACTTCTGGGTAGCTCGTCCCGCCACTCGACTGTCGTAGCTCCGGTTAACTCCAAAAGGAGAGAAGGAATTAATTATATGTAGTTTGTAGTATGTTGTTTAACAAGACTTTGTTACTACTGTGAATGGAGTTGATCCTTTCACCAGTTAGTCCTCTGGTATCGTCGTTAAAAGAAAAGAGGTAGCAATAATAATAGATATAATTAGTGAAGTTATTCAGACTAACAAACAGAAAAAGAAATAAAGAAAATGTAAACCAGACAGCTGATTAAATTTGAGGTTGATATATATATCAGTAATAATAGTAAGCGTTGTTAGGGTTGTCAGGAGAGTTAAACGGGCGAGAATGTAAAGAAGTAAAACGACGAACCTAGTTGTCTACCCCCGAATGGTGTATGGGATTTTAAGGGGATAGGCCATTTGGACGCAGTCCTTGCGTCTTTGCATAATTGTCCAGCATTCGCTTAAAGGTGTCCACAGCCGGTACCAAAGCTACATCTGTCGGTAGGGAATTCTAGGGACGGCAAACCCGCAGTGAAAAAAGTGGGAGCGCACCCGGGTACTTGCCCTCTGGTGAGCTGTTCTTCTGGGAGTTCCACGAGGGAGCCCACATCTACTCAACGGCAAAACATCTTTGTTTGGGTGATTCTTGTCATTTTTTATCTTGTAGGTAGTGATTGAATCCCCCTTAGCCGACGGTAGCTAAGTGTGAATAGGCTTAATTCTTCAAGCCTGTCATCACATGGTTTATTTCAAAGACGAAACACTCCTGATGTCACCCATCTTTGGTCTCTTTCCAATAGGTTTACGTCTCTTCTGAGCAGTGGGGGTGCAATGATATTGTGGCTTTCAAGGTGAAGTCTGACGAATGTCTTGTACAACCTAAGAAAGAGCTGAAGAGTGAATGAATTGAACTGTCTATTTGTAAAGTGCGTGACTGCATATGCCCTCGCTTCGTCCCCTCGTGTAATTCACGCTTGTGTTCATTTTTTCCGTTGGAACTAGATCTAAGTCGCGTTCCGACGTTGTGCAGGACAAGCTTTCATTGCACAGAGTGTAACTTGCATTCTGCAGTCTACAGGTGCGTAATTTCACTACTTTGCACTTTCTCAGGTTCAAAGTCATGCCACTCGTCACCGCTCAGTCTTGGAGAAGTCTACGAAGACTACATGGACTGAAACATTAATCCCAGCATGATGTCCGATCGTACCAAGTTGATAGTGGGTTTGTTACACAGGATCTGTCTTTCCTGCAACCGCCTTGGGCTTCATCTAGCCTGTTAGTTCTATCGAGGTTCTCCCTGATGTAATAATAGTTTCCAGTACTTTTGATACCACTGAGAATAGAGAAACTGGTCAATAACTAGTGGCATTTTGCCAAATCCCATCCTTGAAGATCAGAGAAAAGATGGTTCTTTTATACTCCCTTAGCAGTTTCCTCAAATCCATCGAGTGTTGGAACAAGTCGAATAAGAGTCAACAGAGAGCCTCGGTGCAGAGTTTCAGAACAAATGGACTGATGTCGTCACAATCTGGGTCTATGTAGCTTCCCGGTACTATTGCCAGGTTTATTTGGAGAGTAGCCACTAGGTCTTCCTCTGCTGAACTAGTAGTGCCGCCATTTTGGTCCGTGCCGGTCATGCTCACACTGATGTTTAGCTGTTTGGCGAAGGCCAAACTAAATGTTTCGGCCATATCCAGACTAGTGAGATATTGGCGGTTTGGACCTACTAAGACGCATGGGTGGCATTCTTTCCGACATGAATCGGTACAAGCTTTTGGGGTTCGCCAGGAGTTTTTGGGCAAGGCTAGCCCGGAACGACTTCCTGTCACTCCTGACTGTCATGTTGCACCGGTTCTTAAGTTCCAGATATGCGTCTTGGCCGGTGTGACTCTAGGATACGCACCACGTAAACCAAGCCTTCTATAGGGGACTAATAATAGAGTTCACTAATATTACAAATATGAGAAATATAATCCAAGTCAATGAAATGTTAAATAACAATATATTACCAAAAATGCAGTGACGAGTTATATCAATAAAAAGGATTACTTGGATATAAAGTTAAAGTCATCTACTACAAATTATTTATATAACCTACGGGTACGTTAATTTTTGGGTTTCGTCTGCCGTAGCTGCTGTGTTCCGGTTGTAGAAACGTCTTCGGTTGAGAGCAGTAGACTCCTACAATAAATCCGAAGTATACAACACGTTGTGTATTGAGCAAGTAAGCAGAAAAACCAGGGAGAATGCGAAGTCTCCAACAGCAAAGTGTATTTTCAATAATGTACGGAAGTTATGTATATTTCAACGAGAAGCGTTTTAAACGAAAATTATTTGCAATGTCTCTAATTTCTGCGAATAACCAAAAAGTGTGCAACCACATTGTT